AAATTTAACATATGTATTATTATAAATCATTTCGGCGGACAAAATTCCTTGATAGCTTTTGATAGCAAACAAGTCATTATCCTTGTGCGCTCTCTGCCACACATATTCGTTCGGCTATAAGTGCACACTTCCCTCATACAATTGTTTTACCTGTTAAATCCAGCCGTTTTTCTCCCCATTCCACTGACGTTAATTTTTGATTTTTTTGGCGATTCCTCGCAGTGGTAGAATTCATTGGGCAATCTGAAATAGTTATCCAGTTTAGCATTAAAAGAAGAAAATTATGACGGCAGTTTTAGAACTATCGCGATCCAAATATGGACAAAATAATCTTCTGATTAATTCTCATTTAGGACTGTTATTAAGTATCTATCGAATTAAGCAATCCAACGATATTGTTGGTTTAAGAAAATTATTTGATCGTGCTGATATCCAGATCAGAAATTTGGAAGAGTTGGGAATCGATTCAAATTCCTACGAAAACCTGCTTACACGAACCCTTCTGAAAATTATACCAGCTGATCTTACACTGGAATTTAATAGATTAAATAAAACTAAAATTTGGGATCTGAAAGGGTTACTGGATTTTTCGAAGGATGAAATACTTAGCAGAGACCGAACTATGTTCGTTCAATCAGAAAAATAACGTTAGAACAGATTATGAAAATCGCTTATCCCAAAAGCAAAAACTCTGACAAATCTAAACGAATTAATTTTATTATTATATATTATTAATTGTCCGGCATGAATGTAATCATTTTAATATATTATAAATTGCTTACATTTTTATACATTTCGTTATTTTATTTATTTGCTTTTTAGGATCAATCCGGTAATAATGGTCAAATGGTTAGGAATTGAAAAATCATAGGAGAAAGCGTCGGCAGAAGACTCTCACACAACTAAAAATTCTTGTTTATATCCTGAATCTCAAGCACCTAGAAAATGAAAAGTTACTATTACAAGAAAATATAATGAAAATTATTTGGAATGAGGATGAAAATGACCCCAGGCCCATTTGTGTTATTTGTTATGAACAATTTTCGAATCACTCAATGAAACGATCACTTCTGCTATGGCGTTTTCAAGTTAAACATGCTAATTTAGCAGGTAAATGTCTCGAGTTATTTTAACGAAAATGAAGTGAAATGAAAACTAACAAACGTTGACTTCATTTCTACACCACAATAAAAAAACGGAGCATCATAGTTGGTTAGTTTGAAAATTGTTGAAACTGCAAAACCACATACTATTGGAGAATCTTTAATATTACCTGCAGACGAAGATATTGTGACATCTATTCTTGGCCCTACTGCAGCAGCCAGGCTGAATGTTGTTTCATGGTCAGATGACACTGTTTCGCAACGAATGAACGATATTGTAGTAATACAAACAATTTCAAGTAAAACAAACACTAATCGAAAATATAAAGCAACGCAAATAGTTTGAATTTCAGTTCGATGAAAACACCTGTTATAAACTTTGCATAAACTTTGCAACGTTGATGGTTTATATTTGATTTGAAAGAGAATCAATCAAAAATGAAGGATTCTTATTCTGTGAGCCTCTTCCAAATCATACCATCGATGATAACATTTTAAAGAAAATTAATGAGTTTACTACTGGCCATAATATAATTTGGAAGAAATGTATTGGAGTATGTGCTGATGGTGCATGTTCAGTAACAGGTTGTCGTGGTGGAGGTTTTGCCAAAATTAAAGAAGTTGCACCAGAATGCAAAGCTTCACACATTGCAGCATGCATCGTGAAGCATTGGCTACCAAAACAATGCCCACAAGCCAAAAGCCTGTTTTAGATCAATCTGTGAAGATAGTGAATTTTACTAAATGTCAGGCACTTAATTCCTGTCTGTTGACTATTCCGTATAATGAAATGGATAGTAACCCCAAAAAGCTCCATTTACACACAAAAGTGCAGTGGTTGTCAGGGAAAAAGTTTTAGCTACACTCTTTGAATTACGTTCAGAGGCCCAAGTATTCATTTTTACTATTTGAATTCCTAACAGAGGTATTAGAGGTATTTGGATTCCTAACAGAATCCAAATTTGAACTCCATCATTGCTTTACTGATGAACTCTGGCTATCACGTTTAGCATATTTATCTGATATTTTCCGAAAGCTGAATGAACTGAATTCTAGTTTACAAGTTAACAATATCACTGTTTTTACAGTACATGACAAAATAAATGTATTTTTGAACAAACTAGAATACATAATTAAGGATGTGAAAAGTGACAACATTACATTATTGCCAACACTAGAAGAGTTTCTAAAGGAAAATAATGTGTAACTTGTAGGGTTTATATTTATTTTAACTAACATTTATTTTAAGTTTAAACTATCTTTCCTGTCAAGCCTTACTTTCTCCTGGAATTGCCAATGCTAGAGTATAAATTTTAGTAGAACGCGCAAGGATTCAAATTGTCAGCGGAAGTAATCTGAGTTAAATAGAAGGGAAACGAGTTCGAAAGTGTGCTTTCTTGCTTCACGAGCGTGGAGGTGGCTAGTTAGAAATTGAAGAACCACGCGTTTCGGCCTGTGTGCTTACCTCGGCAGATTGTTAATCTTTCAACGTAATTAAGACAACGTAATATTCAGAAGTTTGCTGAATTATCAGCGGTATCTTAGAACGCGGTGAGGTTAGTTACGTTTAGAGAGCCTCGTAGTTAGTCACTTGTTACTATTTTTTTTTTTAGTTTCTTATTTTTATTTTATCGCCGGGTCGGCGTAGTTTGTGAGCGTCAAGAGCACGCATTTGTAATTTCTAAAGTTGAATAGAAAGGGATTTAAACCCTTCTCAAGACTTTGTCTACTTTCCAGTTCTTAGCAGTCAGCACTATTGTTGCGTGCAGGTTGGAAGCGCGCAACATTACAAACTGACCGAGCAACTAATTGACTACAAAAACACTGCATAGGACTTGTTAACAATTTCATTCATACTTTTTTGAAAATTTAGGAAAAGAACTTTGGATAAGAGATTCCTTTTTCTATTTCGGAAACTGTGCTAGATAATTTTTCGGTTCAAGAAAGAGAACAGCTTATAGACATTTCATATGACGGAAGTCTCATGAATGCGTTCAAAAATGATAATAGTTTTTCGTTAAAAAGAATATTATGGACAAAGCGATAAAGTTTTTTAATGCCTTTCAACATGTCATATCTCTGCAAAACTGGATTTTCAGTTATACTGTTAATAAAAAAAAATTAATGAAGGACATGGCCGCAACTTGAACCTGACTTGCGCTTGAAATTAATGAAGAAAAAGACCAACATATCTAAACTGGTTTCAATAAAACAGGCTCATTCGTCACATTAATCCTCACCATTAATTAATCTCACAGTGCTACAAAGCAAACATAATACCTCACTGACAATTTAACCTAACATTTTTTTTGAACTAATGACAATGATAGTTTGGTATACAGTCACAAGAAGAATAAACACGCATCTTAAATTTGACATGTGTTCAACATTTAGTTTGTCTTATTTGACAGTGTTTCATATATGATTATAATTCTATCTTTTTGATTCGTTTAGGATTAGATTGTTTATACTTGTTACTAATATGAGTATTGCTATAGTTAAATAAGATTGTTAAGGTGCGCTATTTGCATTTTATCTTCTTGGTTTATTTAATAATTTATTTTACACCTTAACCACAACAATGTGAGTACTTCACGTTCTTCATTAACAGAGAACTGTTTAAATTTCCCAACATTCACCTTTTTTTTAAACCATGTAATATCTAAAATGTCAAATAGACAGAATGTATATATTTTTTTAAACATATCTTATGAATGTCCCTGTGGCTCAGGTGCCTTCTTTGCTTCTTTGTACAACTATATTATTTGCTTAACATACTTATTATTATTCACTATTTACCACAACTGTTATAAACAGTCCAGCCACATTAATGTCACATTAACGTCTATACATATATATATGTAATAAGAAATTTTTAAGAATTAACTTCTAAGCTTTTCATTTTTAATGGCGACGGTCTCTGATTTGAAAGTACGTGGAATTAAATCCACAACCCCGTAGTCAAGTTTTTTTCCCGCCTTTTCTACACGTACAGTTTAGAATGTGTTATAATATTAAAACTGGATTTGGCTCAAATAAATTCGATTATAAATATCTCCTAAGTTTAAATTAATGCAGTAAATTTCAGGTAATTAAGTTATTAGTAATTCTTTTACGCCGGAGATATGAATTTTGTAATGCTATTTCTTCTTTAAATAAATGGATCCTGTTTTTTAAACTTATCTTGATAATTTAAGCGACTACATGGCTTCTATATTATGGCTATAATAAACTGTATCCTTTTTTTAAATTATCGGATAATTTAAGCTCTACTAACATACATCTATATATATATATATAGATACTCGTAGATAATTTTTATATTTTATTGTAAAATTTTCATTTACGAATATAATTAAATAGTATAAATTTAAAGGGTTTTATTCTTTGATTATATACACTCCATTAAGGATTCACTGAATTCAAATGGCGAAATGCTTTTATGGTAGTACATATATTTTTGTTTCATATTTATGTGGCACAAAATTTGAAAAATTTAAGAACCTCTGAGCTATAGAAACATGGATAATTATAATTAAGATAAAAATAACGGACAAGTATTAATTTAGAAGGCAAACAACAAAGATCAGCGTTATATTTGCAAATTTTCACAGGACCTGTCAAAATTTGTAAATATAACGCTGATCTTTATTGTTTGACATCTAAATTAATGGATAATTAGAGTTTCACTGTAAATTTGATTTATCAAAATAAAGTAATTACAGCATTCTTTTGTATCATTCAATATAAACACTCTGTTTTGTGAAAGTGAACGTAAATAAAACCTTACATAAATCTTTATACATGTAAATCAATAATTAAAATATACCATACAACTAAAAAGGCATTAATACGATACAAATAGTACAGTAAACCAAATAAAATAAAACTGCATACCGATTCAAAATACCTCCAATGTCCAAGGAATAACTGAATCTTGAGTTTTTTACTATGACATTCTTCTCTAGCTTTACTTCCTCCCTGCAGAAATAAAAATATTTGTAATTTATTTTCTATTTTCTTCGCTCGAAATATATTAAAATACAAAACAACAATGAATTTATTTTATAGCCAATATAGCAATTACACGCTTTTCTGTGTTATAATGATTACAACCAGGAAACACCACTACACATTAGAAAGTCAGAGATCTGGAATCGTATGGACTTCAGCAATTATGGATTTCGGATATTTTCGGATTTTAGATCATCACTTTAAAGCTAGTAAAATGACATGTCGACATGTCAAAATTGGAACTTCACTTATTAGTGTCAAATAGAGGAAAGCCAGCCCCTCAACCACTAAAGGGGCGAAAGTTTAATCTTGGACAACATCAATAATGACTGGCCATGATTCCACTTCATTAGCGCAGGTGTTTGGCTGTGACAAGCAGGAATATCAGTTAGTTCGGTGAAAAATTACATTTATGGTACATTTTCTACCTTTTATGGACAAAGTAAGTGCGAGTCATGCGCCGTATATCCTGGCAGAATTTCGGAATTTTTGGTGGAATTTCGCTGCAAGGTAGGTTTTTCAGTGCAACGTTTAGGTATTGTCAGTAAATTTGATTTTGGCATTAGGCACCGAGTTTTGTTGTACACTGGGTTGGCTATCATTAATTTTGCTTGAATTAATATTTGCAGGGAATTTGGTTTAAATATGGTATGAGACCAGATATGGCCTGAGGCACTTTTCTGATAACTTATTTTCCTGGAATGAGTGCAGGATGTCCATTGATCCGGTCCAGAAAATTTGACGCACCTTGGTTATGCAAAGAAATTCTCTCAGAAGAGGTGCCATTTTTGGAACCTCACTGATATTTTCCTATTATTTTAAATTTATTTCACATTTTTATAGAGATATATAAGAGGGTATTGAGGTTATAAATGGTCTCTATGTCCTCATTCGGATATAGCAATATTTGAAAGACAGGTGTCAACTTTTTGGTTTTGTTTCAGGTTACAGGTATTACATTTTGGGCACTGAAGCCATGTGTAACTAAGTCTGCAAATCTTTCCTCTATGGAGATATTCATTGTGAGTCCCCAGAGAAGAATTTGGCTTGGTCTTTGATGCTTATTATTGATCAAGATTTCACATCATCTGTGGTCATTTCCTGTTTCTGGGATAATTTTCAATACTTTACCACAGATATAGGAAGAGAATTTAGCTTTAGTTTCATGAGATATTGTTTTCAAGATGTCAATGCAAGAGATCCCTTCTGATGTTTTCGCCGCATTTAGAGGATGGCAAAGGGTTGCAGTAAAGTGCTCCGCTGCAGCAGATGGATTAATTTCGGAAGCTCAGTCTATTATGAGTACAGTATTATTACTGTCCTAAGGACAAATAACTTACCTAAACATCTTTTTAGGTGGTGATTTTAGACTTTTTTCCTCAACTGTCAGAATTGCCTACAATTTTGGTAGGCTTACTGAACTGAAACAGGCCAGGCGAATTATCCTATCATTATCACCAGCAGTACTGTTTTTACATTTACTCACATGATTAGAAAGATCTATGCTACAGGCCAGTCTGTCTACTGCCAGAATTGGTAAGGTACTGATATGAGTAATTCTTTCCAAACTTAACTTCTTTCTGCAAAGGACCTGCACTCCAACCAATATGGATTCTGAGTAGGCAACTCAACACCGAGCATTCCATAAAAGACTTAATGGCTATATCCAACAGAATAAAGATAATGACTTGTACGCACTGGCAATAGGCATTGACATCAAGGGAGCCTTTGGCACTCTTTGGTGGCCAGACGTAATTACATTTGCTGCATAATATGGCCCGTGCCACAGCCATTATTACCATCCTTTTCTAGTACCTTCAAGATCGAAGTGTACAAATAACATCAAACAGTGGCACGTCAAAAATGTCTTTAGAGACTGCCCTTATGGGGCATGGCTAGGGCCAACCTTGTGGAATATAGTGGTAAACTCGGCATTTCACCAGTTTAAGAGCAGAGAATATGCTCGAATTATAGCCTATACGAACGAATTTGTATTAGTTGTGGTAGAAAGGAACAACCTCGAAATGAGGGTTCAGTACTGTCTTGATCAATTCTCCCAGTGGGCCACAAAACGCAAGCTTCAGATTTCAGCACACAAAACTAAAGCTTTACTCATAGAACGCAGCAGACAGCTTAGGCGACACCCAAGAGTTAAACTCCATGGCATACCGGTAAAAAGTTTCCCTCAACTGAAATTCCTTGGGCTAATACTTGAAAACAGGCTTTCCTGGATGCCGCATGTCAGGAGTCTTAAGACTTAAATTAGCATTCTAAACAACAAAATAAGACGCATGACTTAACATAAATGGGTATCTCATCTAAGCTAATAAATATTGGCATAGAACTATTACAGAAAGAGTAATCACACACAGAACTGCACTCTGGGGTGGTGAACTTGCCTCTCACGTGAGAAGATCACTACTCTCAATTCAGAGACAGCAGCTACTTCAAGTATGCAGGAGCCTACCGCACCATGTCAATAGAAGCCCTTACAAAATCTGGCAGGAAAGCCTCTCCTAGATCTTATGTTTGAAACGGAGGCAACTGTCGCAAGGGTGACTATGCTGGATCAAAACGTCAACATTCTGGGGTTATAGTTCTCACCACTTGGATTATCAGGAGCAAAACATTGGCAATAACGTTCAACCAGCTTCTTTTAATCTTTCCAATTGTATTAACATAAACGACGAACTAATTTAAAGCAACAATAATAACATTTTTTACAGATGGCTCCAAAAAGGATAACGGCACGGGCAGCACCTTCTGCAGACTGGAAATGGTTCTGTAACATTTGAGTGGAACAAAGGAACTAGGATTGTACAACTCGGTATACCAAATAGAGCTTCTAGCTATCAGCTCTGCAATTAGGTTATAAGGTATTCCTCTCGCCTTCTTAGCGTGCCTTCGTGGTGTAGTAGTCATCATACTCGGTGCGTATTCAAGGGGTCCGTGAGGTGCGTATTCGAGAGTCCTGACGAGTCATTTTTAGCATCTTCTGCTTCCAAAATACCTAATGTCTCAACAGTGGAGCTTGAACTAAAAACAAGTGGTCAGGATTTGGTGATTGGGTTCCCTAATCCCCAGTTTCCCTTTAAAAGTGGACTATATAACATATTTCTCCCATTTTCTTAACGTTCCTTCATGGTGTAACGGTCAGCATACTTGGCACGTATTCGAGAGGTCAGAGGTTCAAGTCCCGGTGAACGCATTGCTCATTTCTTCAGTCTCCAGACATCGAAAAATTTCTAATGACTTTGTAGTGGCGTCCGAACTAAAAAAAAAGGTGGTGGATGATGGTTCTCTACCATAAGAAGTCGGGGATTGGGTCCCCTAATTCCCAGTCGCCCTTTAAAAGGGGGAGCATATGAAGCATTTCACCCGCCTTCTTAGTATGCCTTCGTGGTAAAATATCTAATGTTTCTACAAGGTATACTAACGCATATCAGCAGCCAAAATTCCCCATACTCAGCGATTCGGCATCAGGTCTGGCGGCTACTGCAGGACATAACAGCTGGAGTAACTTAGTATACCAAATTCAAATACAGCTTCAGATAAAGCTTATCTTACAAAGACCCACTCTAAAATGAGTTCCCACTCATACAGGGATTCAAGGCAATGAAGCTTCAGATCTTCTCCCCAAGCTGGCAGCTAATTGAGATGGAATTACTACTTGTAGAAAGACCAATTAAAGTTCCTTTGTCTCACATTAAAAACAACTTAATAAGCTTGCGACAAAACTGGCAAAGTAGATGGTCACAGGCATAGATAGGATGAAGGATATTTTGTTTATTCATGTTATCATGGAAATCAAGACACACCACGCTACCCAACACAATTCTTGACAGGTCATGGGCCATTCCCAGTGTACCTTAACAGATTAAAACTTAGGGATACTCCCTTCTGGGAGTACAGAGAAGAAGGTGACATGGACCATTGTCACTTTTTTTTGTGTTAAAACAAGAATCTGGCACTTGAAGAAACCAGCAGACTGTGCCTGGGCAATGTGAATGTCCAACACGTTCAAAAATAGAGTAGTCCTTGGTAAAATAAAAACCTGAAGGCACTGTGTAAGCAGAAACCACTGTGAATAATATTATGTTTGAAATGACCAGAATTTAAAGCAGTTAATCAGGATAGCGCTTGGAGTCTGCAGTTATCAAGATAAATAACCCCCAAACTACTGGTAGGTTTATCATAGAATAGTAAGACTTGTTTTCATTCAGCAAGAAGTATAAATGTGAGCGACACCTTTAGGCACTCAGTGCGATTATTAATATGAATTAGTTTTGGATAACAAAGACTTTATAAAATATAGAAACTGGTATTAGTAATAATAAGTTGTTACATTGTTACTTTGGGGGATTTCCCCGCTGTGATATAGTATATACTTCAGTTTGGTTCAAATCTGTGGTCGGAAGACATCATGGCGGTGCACTCAGTCCGGTGTTGAGGAAAGAGAATTATCTGATAAAAATTTTACATTTTTCATATGTGCAATATTTTCATCAATGTCAGCAATATTTAATGGCCAAATATTCTATTTCTATAAAACTATCAGTACAGTTCAAATAGCTGTCAAGGAGTGTTTATAGGCAGTGGGAAGCCTAGTGGCTGAAAAGAGGATGCCTGCAGGTTATTGAGAATAGTCACGGTTCACCATGAGCTAGAGAGAAAGAAGATTTTCATTCATAAAGGTCATTCAGAAATATTAAGACAAGTCAAATAAAATTTCTTACGCTGAATCAGAGCAGGCTAAGCTGGATTCCCAAACAAAATCATAAAAGCATTTGGAATCAGGTCCTGAAATTATTACTGGCTGGCCCAGCTTTGTTCCACACCTCATAAAAACTCTTGTCACAGGTTTGAGAGTTTCATCAGAGTTGACAGCAAAACATGCTCTACTGTCCCCAGATTCAAATGTAAGTAACATGTCAGTTGAATCTGAAAATTTAGGAGCATTTAAATCCATTATGTTCATTCACAGACAACAAATATTATATCAATTCATAATAATTTCTTAACATATATGATTAAGTATGAAACAAACACATTTAAAAACAGGAATCTGTCTCTGAATATTATATCAACTGCTTACCTGTCCTCAAGATGTCCTTTTAAAGACAATGCATACTTTTTAATGTATCAAATTACTCATAATGTCTTGTGTTGCAAACTGTCAAATTTTCTGCCTTGAATAGCACCACCTATATTGGAACTGGGATACTTTTAGACAGTTGCGTTTTATCAGCTGCTATGCAGGAAGAATATGTATTCGAGTGAGGCAGAGTAAGCCACACATGCTTGTAAAAATAAAGTAGTTAGTTCTATTTCATAGCACAGAATGTGCAATGCAATCATTTGGTTCAAGTTAATTAATGGATACCTTTCTTTAGGATATCTAAACCTGCTGTGCCATGCCCTTTAGTGCCGCGAAATCTATTTTCCTGATCTTGGGCACTGAGGCATATGAACATATGCTTTGGACAAGTGGTCAGCTTGTTGCAGGACACCCGGTGTTTTGTCCCCAAGCGAACTTGGTACTCAATATATCGACTCACTCAAGGGATTAAAAGCTAAGTCAAACCTTGCTTAACCCAGTGCCCAGCTCCGTTGCTGCTATGCAACGCGCTAGCCACTGTGCCTTCGGGCCTTAAATGGATATCAAAAATATGTAATTTCTTTATAACGGCAAACGCAACATGTCGAGAACCCCAGAGTGACTGATGATCTACATCACAGGTAAGCCTTTACTTATTTGATTGTAAAAGAAATAATTTTTTTGGTACCCTTGGTGGAAACTGACATGATCTTAAAAGAAAGAAATTTGAGAATATGAGATATCTGAATTTGAATGCTATACATTATACGGAAGTTTTTTATTCTTAAAATATTCAATGGAAGAAAATTTTATTTAAGTTAAAGACAATTGTTACTTCACTCTTGAAAAATATATTTTTGTATTTGCATCAAAATTCATGAAGAAATTGATGGAAAGACAAATGGCTGGAAATATAAAGATAACAGTGGAATTAATTATAAGATGATTATTGTTTTGTTCCTTCATCTTGGTCTCTAGTATCTCTTATTACGAAATCTCTGGCAATGCAGCTTAATACATCATCATCACTTGTGTCCTAGTAGGCACAAGTCTTCTAGTTGACTTACAGTCTGCCCAGTTTGAAAGATAAAACTAACCATATATAATGTATTCTATTTATCCAAACTAAATATTTATTATATCATTTTTGGGTTTAATATTTTACTTTATCAGTCACTTCTCTCATATATTTCATCAGTTTATCCCATATAACTCAATCTTTTCCTACCATGTCAACTTATAGGAAGTTTTATAGAAATGTTCTACTTTTGTACAGCAGGAGAAAACTCTTTAATTTTTATGATGTTATTTGACAAAAGAATGTAGGAAACTTACTAAATGATTTCACTTTCACAGTGTCTACCATGCCTAATGATAAGGGAAAGCCATTGAGGTCCACCATACAGATTGCTGCTTCAGGTAAACAACCAAATGTATCATTATTTTGCTGTATTCCATGACAGAAATTAAGATAGTAAGTCCTGAAAAAAAGTTATAATTTAAAAATGACAACAACTGAATAAAGAAACGAAATCTGGGTAAAGAAAGAAATTAGGTGTAAGATATCAATTCTACTATTTTACACAAGATGGTATTATTAATACGTCAACTTCATAGCGACATTGAAAAATAAAATACTTAAAAAGTTAATTATATCAATATAATAAAAAAAAAGAATATTGCAATATAATTTTAAACAATATAGAAAAAGCAAAAGATCAGTAGCATTCCAATTCATCAATTCTGTTTCATACAAACCGGTAACAAATTAATAAATATAAACAATATTCATTTATATAAAATACGTAATAAATAAAAATATGAAAATTAAAATTAATAATTTCTCTACATTTCATTCTTTATCCATATAAAATAGTTATTCTTGTTTGTACATACCACATACTTAACCACATAATTTAATTATTCTTTACTTTCATTTAAATAACTGTGTTAAAAAAATCACTATTTTTGTATTAACCAATACCTTCCAATCTACCACCATACAATATATTAGTGTCTTATTTCAGTCAAATGTATTTCCATTATTAGTAGAATTGATGAATTTGATTTCCTTCAGACTGTTTTTCTTACAGCTCGTTTCTGTTTCATATGAAGTCTACAAAATAAATAGACACAAGCTTCTCTCAAACAACTTTGGAGTCCGTCCTTACATTAAAGACTATTTCCTATTTTAAGTCCTATTTATTTATTTTCCTATATTAAGTCCTATTTATTTATTTTCCTATATTAAGTCCTATTTATTTATTTTCCTATATTAAGTCCTATTTTATTTTTTATAAAAGCCTATTTCACTGGCTTTTATTGACTATTTCTATCATAGATTTTCCTTTGTATTTAGTTTCATTGAAGGGGAACTAGAATATTTGTTATTTTTTGGCAAACGTCATATGCCCTGGAGAATCTGCTTCATTCCTTCGCAAATTTAGTAAAACCCATTATGAATAATTCATTGAAAATTAATAAGGGATGAGCATATATTGTAAAATCTGAAAGTGTTACACCATTAAATTCACTTTTAGGGTAGGTCTGAAGGTACTAAAGGATATTTTTTTAATTTCAGTCAATTTCTGTAGCCCTCAAATTATTTCCATACGTTTCTTATTAGAATGTTACTGTGACTTCTTTAAGATTGAAATTAACAACTTATGTTATGGAGATAAATTCCAGTGATGAGATATGAACCTATAACTTGAAACCATATGATCTTTCATCAGCATCACTTTTATCTTCTAACTGTCTGCAGCAGACAGCTATTGGTTCTAAAGTTGAACTAAATGCATCACAAGTACTGGAAGAAGAAATATACGTGGAATACGCTATAAAATATTGCAAGTAATAATAAAAATGCCAAATAATGCATAATAAAATATAATAAACATAATAAAAGTGAAAACATAACAAAAGTGCAAAATAATGCATATTGCAAGTACTGGTTTATTGACTTCTTCGTGCTAAACCCATTTTATTTTTCTCATATCCTCAACCATACTGGATACATGAAGTAAAAAGACTGATTAATTAATTGAATCAGCTGGTGCTTAATACACCAGACATTTCGCAGCATTAATAAAACTATTCATTCTACTTTCATACTTAACACGCTTAATCTGCTTCTTATACCGCGCCAATTCTCCTTTATACAATATTTTCCTCACAATTTTTATATTCTCAGAAATTGTAACAACCTGAGAACTCTTCCTCAATGCTCTAACTCTTCTTTTACTTCTTTAAAAATCTTCAGTCCACCAATCAGAAAGACGATATTTCTTACGTTTAAAATCTGTCAAGGACTGTGTATTAACAGGGAGTGTGAGGGCAAATTATGTATCATTCAATATGCAAGATTTGAATAAGAAAAATGGAAAGGCAAGAAGATATGTTAGAGAAATAATGAACATTATCAATACGAATAAGAAGACTATTGGAATTGAGCACTGGATATACTTTTATTTCGGTTTTATTTGGAATGGGCTGTGTATGTATTTGAGATCTGTGACGAGTTTTATTTAATTTTAACATCTCTATTATATTTTAATATTTTAGGCTCGTTTAATTTTGTTGATTTTTTTTTGGGGGGGCGAGCAGTCGGACTTCTGGCTCCCTCTTTTTGGTTGGATTGGCCGGTTTTCCATTCAGTCCATATGGCCGGCTTATGCCGGCTAGGTGGACTGGGGGCTGCACCCGTTGATACAATACAATACTTCTATTCTTCTAGGAAAGGTTTCTAGGTAGGCGTACTTTTCGCCATTCGTTCAAATGTTTTCAGGTTTAAGCTCGCGAAATCTTAGGTTAATTTAAATGCTTTCGTCGTCGGTGAAGGTTTATTAATTTTTCAGTTTTTTCATGAGCGTGTAGGGTTTATATTTATTTTAACTAACATTTATTTTAAGTTTAAACTATCTTTCCTGTCAAGCCTTACTTTCCCCTGGAACTGCCAATGCCAGAATATGTAAATTTGAGTAGAACGCGCAAGGATTCAAATTATCAGCGGAAGTATTATCATTTAAATAGAAGGAAATCAGTTCGGTGTGATATTCTTACTTAGCGAGCGCGGAGGTAGTTAGCGAGAATTGAAGAACCCCGCGTTGCGGCCTATGTGCTTGGCGGGAAGTAGTGGTAATCGTTCCAGTGAGCTTAAAGTCTGCTGAATTAGCAGCGGTATTGTAAAACGCGGTGAGTTAGTTATTTTAGAGAGCCTCGTAGTTAGAATCTTGTCTTTACTTTCTTTTCAGGTTTTATTTTTATTTTGACTGCCGAGTTGGCACAGTCTTGTAAGCGTCAAGAGACGCAATTGTAATTTATTACGTTGAATAAAAAGGGACTTAAACCCTTCACTAAGACTCTGTCTTTATACAAGTTTTCACAGTCACCTCTTGGTTGCGTGCAAGTTGGAGGCGCGCAACGTTATATTGGCGCCCGAACACTTATCGAACTGAAATGGCCGAAAATTGGATGGAAGCCGCTGGACAACACCAAGAAATGACAACGCAGTTAGAAGGATTTGGATACCTGGTCCAGACTTTGAGAGCATCAATCAAGCCAAACGTCCATTTCGACGGAAAAAATTCGGTGGCGGTATTTTTAGAAGGTCTAGAAAACCACTTTCAGCTCTACCCTGTGCCTGAAAGACAAAAAGTTGCCATCGCCACATCAGCACTAAGAGGACAGGCCGCGCTATGGTGGAAAAATATAGGCAAATTTCTTCTAGGTGAATTTGGAAGCCCGACGTATACATTTGAAAATTTCAAAAATCAAAATCGTTAGTAAAGGCCTTCCCCATAGTGAAAGATCGCGCACGGCTGGAAGCCGAACTATATAGTTTCTATCAACGGGATACAGCACAATTGACGGACTTTATTTTACGAAAAATCAAGCTAACGGATATGCTGTATGGGAAAAAAACCCGATGCGGAGATTATTGAAATAATATTACCAAGATTGTTACCCGCTGTCCAAGACTACTTTGAAATTAGAAACCCAAGCACATTGCAGGAACTTTTCGAATTGGCGGTGAAGTTTCAAAATCGCAGAATAGCGGAAAGAGCGAGAGGGGAAACATATTCTCAAAGTACCCGAAGGAAGGAGGAAACCAGAAATGGAAAATCGCTCATATGGGGGAAAGAACTATCAAGCTAACGCATCGAAACTCGAAGGTCAAGGCCCAAAAAGAAAATTTGAAAATAAACATCCGCGTACCCAGAAGACACAGATTGAAAGGAAAGCTTTAAACGACTAGAGGGGCCTGTGAAAGGAGGGTCCAGACCCCGGAAGTTTTAAAAAAACCCTCAAATAGACATTTAAATACACGGTCATCGTAAAAAACTCACAGCTACCAATTATACAAGTCCTGGTTGGCGATGTACCAGTAGAAGCCCTCATCGATACAGGAGCAGAAGGAAATTTTATGAGTGAAAAGTTCTTCAAAAAGAATTTTTATAGGATACGACTATTTAAAACCAGAAATACGGAAATTATAGCGGCGCAAGGAAAAACATGTCACTGCATCGGGAAATTATCATTAAACTTACAGGTAAAAGAGGAAAATCTCAAAGTATTAATTTTTGTGGTGAAACACCTGCAACACTCTCTTATTTTAGGTATGGACTTTTTAAGGGCCGCGAGGGCCAAATTAAATTTTCAAGATAGTTCCGTGGTGCTGGAGATGGACCAGAGGGTGGTGGAACCTGTGGAGACACCTGAATGGACCTTAGCCATCTTGAATGACCAGGAAAGTAAAGCAATACAGCAAGTGGTGAGTAATTTTTCTCATTTGTTTTCAGAAAAACCAGGAAACTGTCAAATCGTGACTCACAAGATTCAATTAAATGCCGAAAAAACCTTGTAGGACTAAACCTTATCGTTATGATAAACAAAAAGACGTAATCATCGAAGAACATATTCAGGAGATGTTAAAGAATAAAATAATAACGCCCATAAATAGTGAGTACGCGAGTCCAGTCGTACTATGTAGGAAAAAGAACGAGTTTCCTCCTTCGGATAAAAGGGCTTGGAGGTTTGCTATCGATTACAGAAAACTAAATAGCATTACTAAATTTCCCAGTTTACCCTTTGCCGGTTATAGACGAGATCATTAGACAGATCAAATCGACAAGATATATGTCTACTTTGGACTTAACGTCTGGCTACTATCAAATAGCTATGAGACCCGAAGATATACATAAAACCGCGTTTATAACAAAATCGGGCACTTATGCATTTTTACGCATGCCCTTTGGGTTGTGTGGGGCCCCATCAACATTCCAGAGAGCTATGGACATTGTTCTAAAGCCTGTCCTAGGAAAATCAACTTTAATTTATCTAGATGATATAATTATAACGAGTAGTACGTTGGAACAACACATTAATGACCTCGAACAAGTTTTTAAATTATTAAAAGAGGCCGGTCTTACAATTAACGCCTCAAAATGCAAGTTCGCAACTAAAGAACTTAAATATCTCG